AGTCTGCCTAAGAAGGTGCTTTAATCCACTAAGGTATCTAGCCTGCCCTCTACCCTCTATCTTGGCCAGCAGCCAAGGGATGCTCCCTCCCCTGCACTCCCCACCAGCAACCAAGGAGCTCTGCTTACCTGCAGGCCCCCAAGAGGCCATAGCATCTCACTGAGATGGATGATCACAATCGGTGTGGTGAGAAGCAATGTGTGTGAAAGTCTGCACTCCCACTGTAATGCTCGGCTAATTTTGCTCATGGAGAACAGATACCTATAACCAGAAGGAGCTTAAAGAATCCATCCAACCTTTAACAACAAAAAAGAATTTGGCCTTTCTTTGATTCTTTCATAAACAACTGGCGCACTCAGCCTCTGAGGCCCCAGTGCTGGACAGGGTTGACCTGTCAGCAAGGCTAAAGCACAGCTTTTGGAACTGCAAAACAGAAATAAAGGGCTAGGGGGAGTAGCTCAGCAGCAGACCGTGTGAGGCCTGGGTTCAACCTCCAGCTCCAACTTCAATGAAACACCAGAAATAAGCAGATGCTGTATAAAAACCATGACCATAGAAGAGCCACAAACTACATCCTGTGATCCCTGGGCCAAAATACTTTCTCAGGGGCCCGGGGAGATGGCTCAGTGGAATAAGCGCTTTCTTGGCAAGCGCAAGGGCCTGAGTTCAATCCCCGGTTCCGCCAAAAAAAAAAGAAAAAAAAAAATACTTTCTCTGACAGCTGGAGACATTGTTATTTTTACTAGGAAATACCATTTAGGGTTACTGATACATAACTGGCAAAGGAAAGAGGGTGAGGGAAAACATGCATCCTTTGTTAGCAGGGAGGAACGATGTCACAAGCCAGGCATGTGGGAGGGCCAGCCTAGCACCTGAGCTGGAGGGTAGAAGATCCAGGGAGCAGTCAGTGCACTGTGGGGCAGGATGGGCCATGGGGTGATGGGGTAACTTCTGTCACTCAGCTACCACCAAACACTAAAGCCCCTGAGCAGCACCCGCCGCCCAGAGGAGGAGACGCTGAAATCCCCAGACACTCACCTCTCCCCCTGGGAGAGCAGGGAGCCACCCACCCAGGCAGATCCGGGCTGTTGAGACTGGCGCCCCAAGGAAATAAGATGTTAGGAGACCACAGGTTTTCTATTTTTATAACATTTTATATAACTCATAAAACAGTGCTTGTATAAAAATTCACACAAATTGCTAGACAGCATACAATTTGCAAAAATGTCCTGGGTTTTTGTTACATTCAATTTTCTAAGGATGCACTCAAATCAATGGTAAAATCCAGACAGTATTCGACAATTCATTATCTTTGGTAAAATTATTTTCATTATTTTGACTCCTCACAGTATCAACTCTAATATTCACTTTGTGCAGGGTCTGCTCTTACTAGGATGTCAGAAAGACATTAAGGCTGGATCTACCCGAGGTGAGGCCAGTATTTCCAAATAGCAGTGCCAGTCCCCAGGAGCTACACAGCTACAGAGCCTCCACCAGGCGTCGCCAGCCTCTGCCAAGCCCCTATAATCTTTATCAATAAATTTTCATGTTTCCTGAGTTCTCTGGGGTTCACTTTCATCAAGCTACCAATGAGCTATTCATGTTGCTTTTTCCACAAGAATTTCCATGAGAGGGGCTGGAGAGATGGCTCAGTGGTCTAAAGCACCTACTTGAAACAAGCTTGGCAAAGCACAGGGACCTCGGTTCGATCCCCAGCACCACAT